AAAAAAAAAAAAGCACCTATCTGACCAGTTTATAGTGCACTGAAATTCTTTTGACGAGGAGGAAGCAACAGCACCGGTGGAGTCTGAGTTGAGGAAAGAAAAACTACTGTAAGGAACAGAGAAAAACCAACAAGTGTATCAAAAATTTTACTTTTTTTAATTAAATTTGAACACATTTTTTTAATTATTACTACAAAAAAAAAATTAAAAAGCCGTATATTAGCCATTTGTTTACTTTGAACAATTTCAAAATTTAGAATATTTATCCTTTCCTTTTCTTCTTTTTGTAACATACTACAGACAATGCTCATCAGATTCAACTATTGTTCTTCCTGACAACAAATAAACCTCTTTACTTTTGCACTCTTTTAACCACTGTAAGAAAAGCAGTCTTTTGAAAAGAAATTACAGTAAACAAATTTAAATATTTACATATCTCTGTTACATATCAATGCCAGCAAAAGTAGCTTTATCAAAAAACTTCAGTTATTTCACAGCACTCAACAAAAACCTCCAAAATCCACTTCAACAGTAAGAAGAAAAAAAAAAATCGTAGCAGCAAAAAAGATGCAGTTCAAAATTTATATCAAGTCATCTCAACAACCGATCAGTGTTTTTTTTTAGCCACTGTAATCTGTGATACTTCAAAAAGTTGCATTTTATTTTCAATGCATCTCAACAAACTCTTGAACAGTCCATGAAATTACAGAAAATTAAACTACCATTTGAAAAAACTTTTTACCTAACACGCATTTTACATATTTCATTCTTAGGTTTCCAAGACAAAAAAAAGCAGTGGAACAGAAGCGAAAACGAACAAATCAAACCTGATATATGATCATGTGCTCCGTTGTTTACTGTAACATTACTTCACCAACTTTATTTTCAACTCTAGCTGTAAATTATTCCAAAAGTCACAATAAAACCTTATACAACTTTTTTTTTTTCAAATGGTAGTTTTTAGAAATGAAAAAGGAACATTTTTGTCTAAGACAAAAAAAAAAAAAGCCAAAGAAACTGCCCAAAGATTACGCGAAAAAAAATTGTCTGAATAGCAACAGTATCGGTCAGACCAAACAGCGGACCGACGTTTGGCTATCATCCAAATCGCTGAAACAGATATAGTTTCCTATACCCTTAACAGTAACTATCAAAAATCTTACTCTCTATTTTTTTAAAACTTTATTACCGTTAAAATAAATGTTATATTACGATGAACCAAAAAAAGTCTTGGTTCCTCCGTCTTGCCTCTGTTCACCAGCTCTCTCAACCTCCACTCAAAAGTTAATTTCTATGCTCACAGATTTCGTCAAACTGTTGTTCTATTGCTGAAGACGAAAATAAGCATAAAACAAAAACTGCAATAGTAGTAGCACAACAACAGTTTAATTTAAAAGTAAATTTGAGCTGCTTTACGGAAACAGTATCAAAACTAGCAGGAAATTTTTGCATTTACCATGGTTGTGTGTCTATGTCCATGGCATAGGCGCTGATGGGCAGAACAACGGTGGCAGAAATTTAAAAATTCAGGAGAGCGATAAGTTTTGGCCGTTGGCCGGGATGCCCAGAAAAGAAACGACCACGGGGGACTGTGCGGCATGAATTCGTTGTGCCGCATGGCCTTGCCTCGCTTCACCGGCCTAGTTCTTCGTCTCCAGTAGTATCTGTTCTATCGATTCGACAATTATATTTTTTATTTCGCTAGTAGGCCGTTACTGCCTGGCTTACTGATGAAACTCAACATATATTATCGCAGCTATAAGTTTCAAGTACTAGATATCATCATCATTACCAAAAACCAACTAGATCAATTCAATGAAGCTACGTTACTTGACGGTTGAACTTATTTTTTTTCTATTTTTACGTGTATTTGTACATTTCTCACACTGTTTTAGTGTTTTAGAAACATACTAAAACGGATGATAATGCCGCCACAGAATGTAAATTCCGCGCAACAACGCAAATGCAATTTGCAATAAAACTAAACCGGTTAAACAAGTATTTGGAGGAGGGGTGCGAGGGGGAAGAAGTGGAAGAATAGCTCCTATAAGATAAACGGGTAGAGAAAGTTTCTCCTGCAGTTTTGTTTCTTGCTCACTTGCAATGCGCTACGTTCAACATTTGGGCATTCTGAATTCAATTAGTATTGGGGAGCCGACAACAGCGGCAACGACAACGACCACAACTACAAAAACAACAAAAAAATTGGAATAGAAATCTTTAAAAATTGAAGGATGTGTATTGTGAAAAGTGCCTTAGGATAGAAAAGTGGATATTTGCCGCATTAGCCAACAGCAACAGAATCAAACAATGGCAAAACTTTTAGGTCAAACATTTTTTCATCTATTGTATTCCGTTCATAGTCCGTGAAGAGATCGAAACAGTGTTGATTTTTCACTAGAATTGTTGCAGCAATATAGACTTACGTACGCATCTACACAGTTTCTAAAGATTCTCAAAGGACAAATAGACTACAAAAAAACCTTTCAGCCACCAGATCTCATTCTGCAGTACTAAATCTCATTTTTTTTTCAAAATTTTTGATTTCACTGCTGAATGAGATGGATGGCAATGAGAAAATTACAAACAGCTGATTTACAAATAACTGTCCTTCACTCTATTCAGTTTTACTTGAAAGTTTCACATGTGTCCTTTTACCTTTTTTTTGTCAAAATATGTAAAAATTACTGTAACATTCATTCAATTGATAAAGGACTTATCATTCGGCAGCTTACCAATGGTTTTGGAAAAAAACAACTGTCTTTATATAGGTGATTAAGAAGCATTATGAGAGGCAGTATGTGTAAAACCAGTATGATTATTTGTTGACTAACAACTTCTGCGGCAGACTATTAATCAAGAAATAAACACATTAAATTGTAACCTGGAGTATTCATGACGACGATGCCATGTTCAGTAGCTGCAGCAACATCAATGTTGTCCACACCAGTTCCAGCCCGACCTATTAATTTTAGCTTTTTGTCAACATGTTCGATGATCCGACGATTTATCTAAATATTGTTTTAGCTTCAGAACTCCAGTAACGGAAGTGACAGTTGTTAAAGTTCCTACTGCCTAACCTTCGTTGCTGAACGTACTACAACAGCATCGTGTTGTAACAGTTCCGACTGAAGTTGTTCTTCAGACAACTTGGTCTTCTTAATGGCACTAACTCCATTCATTTTCAGTATTTGCAAGCACTCTTCCTCAATATCGTCTGCAACAAGCACAGAATTTATGTGCAACATTTTTTACCTGAAAAATAAGAGGTCAGCTAGAAGGAAATTGATCAGAAAACACAGAAACGTTTGAGATTTAAATGCCTTTAAAATGGAGGTCTACGTTTTATAAGTTCTTGCCAGGAAAAAGCACTACCTGTTGGTACTATTGCTGATAAAGGGAGCTAGAAAATTCAAAAAA